GCATCAAACAAAAGCAAATAGATTTGAAGTTTCTGAATTCAATACAATTAAATTACGATTAAATGCGATCTAAGTTAAAGTAAATGAAAAATTAATTACATGTATTTATATTTTCATTTTTGGTATTGAATGACAAAAGAAATGATTCTATAAACTGACCAATGCATCAGCAAAAGGACAACTTACACGGCTTTTAAACTATCTATAAAAAAAAAAACGACCTACTTTTACTTAAAAAAAACTCAGAAATGTGAAATGTTCTAGGTTCGTAGTTTCAAAAATAGAATCACCTAAACTAATATTTAAATTTTTTACAAATTATGAACGACTGTCATGTTATATTTTTACAAGACTATAATTTCCAGTAACAGTTTTCACGGGGTTCCTACTCAATTTCGGAAAGAAGAAAAAAAATCCCCAACTTTTGACAACAATGAAAGTCCATACTTTATTTTATTTATATCTTTGCAGCAAGGCCCCAGTTGGGTTCGAAATTGGCCCGATATGGATCCCGTAAGGACGTGCACCGAGAGACCGATATTGGGCATACTTTGGCTAAATAATGGATTCAAAATATCGACAATTCTATACAGGGCCAATATCGCAAAAATAAAGGCCTTTTGAACCCTTACTGAAGCAAGATTCATGAATAATGGTCGAATGAGGGCCCAAGTTATTTCGCCCTCATAAAGACCAATATTAGGCCGTCATATAAGACCGATATTGGACATACATTGGCTAAATAATAAAATTGGCTAAATAATACATTGGCTAAATAATGGATACAAAATATCAGGCGAATTTGATGATTCTAGATAGGACCGATATTGATTGTAAAAAGGCTGTAAAATATCGGAAAATTCTACATATGGCCAGTATTGGAAAAATAAAGGCCCTTTGAACCCTGACTGATGCAAGATTCATGAATAATGGCCCAATGAGGGCCAAATTATTTTGCTCCTAAGGATTTTTCATCAGAAAATGTTGATTTTTTTTATTTGTAATGTCAAATATTAGATTTTGTGAGCAAAAACATGTAATAGAATGAGAATGGAAAAAGTTTCACTAAAAAGTGGAATTTTATAAAACAACTGTAATACATGTAAGAACAATTTAATTCAAATCTCAATAACTGATTACCGTTACTGATAATTTTAAGACTAGGTAAATCTTTCCAGGTATGTAAAAACTTACCCAGACTATTCCCTGCAGTTTAGAATTAAAATAAAATTTCCAGGTTTTCCCTGACACCCAATTTGAGAAAACTATTACCTTTTTGATAAACATTTTAATGACTATAGCTTTTGTGCACAATAGATCTGGGAACTAGTGCCTCTTTCTACAAAATTTATAAATCTAGAAATATTTTTCTAAAAAGGATACTTGAAGCATAAATAAGTAAGAAGTATACTAAAGCAAAAAACAACAATAATTCAACAAACACAAGCAACAATAATCAGCCAAATAAAAGTAATAATAGACAAATACAGTAGAACTTCCAAACCTCATACAATAATAACTTTTATTATATCCATACCATATTTTATCTATCCCATGCCATTTTTTAATCAGAAAACTTTGATTTTTTTTAATTCGTAATATCGAATTTTGTGAGCAAAAACATATAATAGAATGAAAAATAAAAAAGTTTCAAGGTGGAATTTTATAAAAATTGTAATAGATGTTAGAATTATTTAAATCAAACTGATTACTGTTATTGACAATTCTATGACTGGTTATTTTCCAGGTATAATATAGGGATTTTCCAGGTTTTTTGCAAAAAATTGCAACTTTCCCTGACTATTCCCTGCTTTTTAGAGTTAAAATAAAATAGACTGATGGTAAATTAAATGTTTTTTAAACATAAAAAAAAAATTTTAAATTTCAACTTAAAACTTGTGCATTACGTTTTGTTTTAATTCCTTATATTTGTTAATAAAGTACAAAATATGCTGATTTTTTGCACTCTTTTTTCCCAAAAAAATCGGTAAAGGAAGCAGTTAAAAAATTTAAAACTTTACAGGTTTTGAAAGCCCCTGAATAATTAATGTTATTCTGCCTATGACAAAAAAAAAAAGTTACAAGATTACGCTTTTTACGGAAGGATGAGATATCATGATACATAAAGTGTACAAAAATCTGCTTATGAATTAAGAATGGAACACCTTATATCATTCAGTGATAAGATCATTCAATAAAGTATCTTAAATAGTCATTCGAAAAGTGCTTGATATTCTAAAATGAACTTTACAGCAAAGAAAAGAAAATATCGAAAGTCACAAGAGTTTTATAAACTTAACACTGTTGAATAACAAAATGATTATAACTCTATAATTTTCAACTTGAAGAATCCTACTTCAAAGCAAAAATAAAATACCACAAACAGCAAAAATAATATAAATTTTAGCTTTTAGTATAATAATGTAGTTTAAATTTCAAAGATTTTTTTTCTTAAATGCAGATTTTTCTGGATTATAATATCAGCTGCATTACAAAATAAAATGTTCTTAAAATGGATTTTAATAGGCACAGTATTTTGTAGTTTTTATGGTCTATTACCCAAAAAATGTTGGCATATCCCTGTTCATACCTATTTGACCAAAAAATTATTAAAACTGAATTTTATATAGCGCCACATTATTAAAAAGAAAAGCTTGCTTTTCAAGATATTATTGATCAAAATAGATTAAAAATTATTGCTATAAATTCCAATATTCTCTTCATCGTCATATAACTGTATAACAAAAAAGCCCTAAGGCAGAATTTTTAAGGGCTTTCTGCGACAAAACTCTCAAGAACTAATATCTTTCTTCAAGATACTTTCAATAATAACAAACATATGTTACTCATTTAAAATAACAAAAGCGCTGTGTTTACAAAAAAAAAAAAAAAACTATAATAATTTTTTTTAATTGAACATGTAATGATTTTTAATTCTTATATTATGAGTGATATTCTCGTATTTTGTTGGGGGAGGGGGGAGCACAAATTATTTCCTTATTCACATTTTGTAAATAATCATCTCAATAAAAAATAATGAAAAATCATGAAATCTGTAGAAGTAATTGCCCCCCCCCCCCAAAAAAAAGACTGACTACAAAATTACACGAAACAAACTCCTCAAATGCGCGTTTAGGTTCGAGATTAGATTGCTGTAATAAATACAGTTGAACCTGTTTATCTCGAGAACCTCTATATCTCGAAATTTCTAAAATTCCCTACATTTACTGTCTAAAATCAATGTATTTTCCACGTTTATGTTTAAATCTTTTCTTCTTCAAAACCTCCGTTTCTCGAATTTCTAATAATAGAGCANATGTATTTTCCACGTTTATGTTTAAATCTTTTCTTCTTCAAAACTTCCATTTCTCGAATTTCTAATAATAGAGCACAACTTTCTAAACTTTCCTTATCAGTAGAACTCGTAGACAGAGATGAATTTCGAGAATCCACAGGAAGTAGGGATGAATAGGTTGGGGGGGGGGTGTTTCTTGGAATTTCAATCACCATCCCTGCACTTCCTTAACTAGAAAGGAATACAATGATTCTGGCAGTAAGTGAGGGGTTAATGAGTAGTGACCACCAGGGGTTAGCTTTTCAACATAGATAAGAAAGCTAAGAATAGAAATTCATTTTCACCTCAAAATTGCAACCAATGGATCAAAGGATAATTAGGAGTTTTAAAGTGAACTATAGAAAACAGTTGGTACCCTAACTAGTAGATGCTATCGATGAAAAAAGTTAGATGCTATCAGAATTACTGTTTTGTCTGGAGAAATGTGTCTCTAAAAACTATCCAAAATGGATTTAAAAAGCTGGTTTTAAGAATAGCTGTGAAGATGATGAATAAGAGGTTGAAGGCATCAGTAAAGAAGAAAAAACTGTTAATGCTGAAAATGCAGTGCCAGATTTGCCAGAAGAGAATGCAATAAAATCTAGATTTAATGTTGACATTAATTTGGAAGATTTTTGGCAACATTTGGAACATTGACAGATGCAGAAATCATTGATAATGTTTAAGGAATATCAGATGAAGAGGAAGAAGTTGAAGATTATATTGATGAATCAAAAGTGAATGCAAAAGAAGTAGAAAAAACTGTAGAGTTCTTATAAACTACTCTTGAATCCCAGGAAAATGTTGGCTATGAGGAATTTGTGATCTATCTATTCTCAAAAGAATAATCGAAACAAATAAGGTTATCAGTCAAAAATCTTGGAAAAATTATTTTCAGTGTATGTTAAAAAACTGTTATGTAAATAGATGTACCTGGTATTATTAATTTAAAGAAATGTCTTCAATTTTTCTACTAATTAAAGCATTTTCTAACAATTAAAGCATTTTTAATAGAAATTTTTAATTAAATTCAATTTTTTTAATAGTACCTGTATAACTCGAAATCTCTTTATCTCAATTTTTTTGCCTTTCCCATTAGATTCGAGATAAACAGGTTCAACTGTAATATCGTATAAAAAATATCGGATTTAAAAACTAAAAAGAAATCAATAGCAATAACCGCCGAAAATTCGATAGAATTATTGATTTAAGTAAATACTCAAATGCACTATTCGAAATTTTCCATATTGTTTGAAATATATCAAAATGTTTAAAATCCACATGCATTACTAATGAAGCATTACATCAATTTACGAAACAAGCGGCATAAATTTAACGCGTCAAACAGAGATTATCGAAATGCATGATTCAAATATTATGTGTAAATTTCTGTAGTAAAGAATTTTTTTTTTTTACTTTTAAAATAAAAAATCTTTTTGCAAAAACTATGTAATGATTCTGCAACAATGTCGCCGTGATTCTGCCACGGGGCTAAAAAGTAATTTTTAAAAAATATATAAATAAAATAAATCATCAAAATAAAATAAAAACGGATATTATATAATCCAAGAATTTGATGCATCGAGGTTCTACTGTACAAAAGAAACAAAACAATTATAACTGAACATGCAACAACATAACAAAGCATTGCCATGCACATGCATACCTGGAGAGGGATTGTTTAAGTTCCATGCAGATTTACTTGCAATTGCTCGCAATTTTGCGGTTCTTGTCAGCCTGGGGGGAGCTAAATGCATCATGCTTTGGGCAGGTCTCATGTTGCATTTAATGTCTGGCGGCTGTTGCAAGCTGGGTGGTTTCTTAGCAGCAAGATTGCACATGCTTCTGCTTGAGGCTTTATTTACAGGGATGGTAGAAACTGGGTGCCTATAGTGAGATTGCCGGGGTTGTGCCAACTGATCAAGGCGTGTCATACTCACAGCCCTCATACTTTGTTTACCTCTGGTTGAAAGGTGAGGCGTGATGCTGCGTTCTCTGGATAATGTGGGAGTGATGTCCGTTCTCTTCCTGCCCCGGAATGTAGACAATGAGATCATGCTTCTGGACATCAAATCTTCACCACCTGTGTTTAAAAGAAACTCAGTAATGCAATCATTTTATTTTACACTTTGTATGAAACCTATGTAAAATGTTTAGAGACAAATGTATGAAACCTATAAATGAAGAAATTTTGATATAATCATACTGGAAAAATACATTATCATATTATCATATCATACATTATATTTTTTTTTGACAAATATATTTTTATAACTTATATTTAAAATTTAATGCTTTAACCCACTGACGGTTCTGCATGTAAGAAGTCGCATTTTAATGTGCAGTCTTCTCCGCATAGCAAAACAGGTTTTTCCACGTTATTAGATAGGAAAATAGTGTATTGGGATGAAACATTGTCCCAATTTTGCCCATTTGCTAAACCGTCAATGAGTTAAAATACATCTTTATTTAAATTGGTTCAAATAAATTAAAAATACAATGTCATCAAAGATCTGGGAGTTTGACAAAGACATTTTTGATACGATGGTAAAAACCATCACGCTTTAAAAACTTACCAACTCTGATAACATGTGATTTGTGTATTTAATAGTAAAATTATGTTTTACCATACTGATTTACATAAAATCATATAAAATTACAGTTATTCTAATTTCTTACAAATTTCATTAAATTTATTTTTCTTCCTAATTGTTGCTTTATAGTTTTCACATTTTTAAAATTCATAAATTAAATAGCTTGAAAATTAATGCTATTATTTTAACTAGATTACAATTATAAGCAGGTAAATGAGTGTCTTCCGTCTTTTCCACTTGGATTGGAAGAAACCCATTTTTTCCAGATGTTTTAAAACAATTTTTTTTCTACTGCAGAAGAAACTTGCTATCTCCAACTAAAACAAACAACAACTAATCTTTACTCAGCACATTCTCAAAAGTCAGCAACAAAAAGGGACTACTTTTATTATAACTAATGCAGCTTTGTAATAATACAGAATATTTTTTGTAATACAAGAGGCTACTTGTATTCAAGTAAGTTACAAAATAATGCAGTATATTGAGGTGAAAATACATTGTTTTTAAGCTACAAGCAATCAGGAAATATAAAATAAACAAGATTAAAGAAAATAATTTAAACAAAAATGAATGTAGGTTAGTTTTTTAAGGGTTCAGTCACATTTAAAAATGTACAGTGCCTATATACACACAGAATTCTAAAACTTCAGCTAATTTTCTTCTATTTTTTCATTCTTACCATGGGAGCAAACTTTTGTTGCATAATTTTTTTTTCAATGAAACAGGCAAAAGTCACTTACTCACACTCATCAACTAAATATTCCCGGTTGATTCAGAATTTATGGAGAAAATCTACAGCACTATAAATCCAAATTTGTCTGTGAACCAAACACAATCAGACAGGAATTATTAATTTAACATACATGTTGCAAAATTTGAATGGATTTAAAAAAAACAAATTATAAATTTTTTTGGTATTTAGAATATGGATCAGCTTAAAATTAAGCAGAGAACTAATATTATTTTATTGTATTCAAGTAATGTATAATATGAAATAATACTTTAAGACAAAAGTTAAAAATGAAATAGGATACTTACCGGTGAACATATCCAAATATGAGCTTAATAGAAATGTGGAAATTTTTTTAAATTATGTAATACATGAATGCTTCACTTGCCAAATTGATTAATCAATAATCTATCCAACATTGAGGGACAAGCTTTCACGTCATTGGAACTTTTATGTCATTTTTCAATGAATAGTTATTGTTGTTAGACAAGCAAAACGGACAGTCACTTACTTACACTCACTGACTAAATACCCTGAACCCTCTAATACAGGGTTCCCACTCTTTTAACAAAGCAAAAATTAAGGACTTTTTTTTAAAAAAATTAAGCACTTTTTTTGGAAAATTAAGGACCGTAAAACTATTTTTAAAAATAGCATTGATTGTTTATCATCGAATATATATGCACCACAAGTCCAGTGCCAATTATTTACCTGTCTTAAAAAAGAAAATCAATAAATAAAAAAAAGAATAAACAATTTTTTTAATGTAAGTACTGATATAATTGTATTAATTAACAAGACTCATCAAAGCTGGACCAGGCAATTTTTAGCAAACCAGGGTAGAGTTTTTTGAAAAATATTTTTCAGATTGTTAAAGGTTAACGTCATCCATAAGACGAATATATATTCCATTTTAAATAATTTAATTGAAATTGAATTGTAAAATTAGGATTTACAATTTTTTTCATATTTTTAAGAAATAGAGTTAATAAAGAAATTTGGGAAAAATTATTACAAGTTTTTAATAAATGCTATTAATAAAATGTTTTATTTACACTAAATGAATTAATACTAAGAGTTAGAGTTATGCATGAGAGTAGTTTTCTAACTATGTTAACTTAACTTAAATTAGGCCCTATTTCAAGTAAAAACAGACCATACTAATATCTAAGCACTTTAAATCATTCCCCATTTTTTTCATTAAGCTTAAAAGAAAATTTTTTAGGTCATTGCACTAAATATTTGCATGAAAATTTTTATAGAATAAGAAGATTTATAATTATTTGCTGATTTTGATTATTTGACAAGATTTATAATTTTCAAACCAATGTGTTTATTAGTTACGATTTTTTAAAGGTATCAACTGATTTCTATGGCCTTTGCCTGTAGCCCCTCACACATATCCTTTATTGTCTCTCTAAAATGCCCAACTCTTGATACACGGACTAATCCTAGTTAATAAAAGAACAACTTTTTGTTATAAAAAATCGACTTGAAAAATTGTTTCCATCAACTAGAGTGACCCTGTTGCAGAATTTTTTCAGGCTTTCTGTGACAGACTTCCCCACCACTAGTATTTTTCTGCAAGATACTTTTAATTACAACAATTACTAATTTAAAGTAACAGAAAAATTGTGTTTTCAGAAGAAAGTATAGAGTAAAAATGTTTAAAAGTTTTTTTAATTATAAATACAGTATTTTTTTAATTCTAATATTATAGGCGATATTCTCGCATTTTGTAGGACTAATTATTATAACACATGTTAATTATTTCCTCTTTCGAATTTTGTAAATCCATTACATAATTAAAATTTGTAAATGAATTAAACGATTATTAATTAAAATTTGTACATAAATTAAAAATATTAAAACCTGTGGCAGTAAAACCCGAAATAAAGAACCATGACAAAATCACGCAAATAGGACTCTTTAAAAAAGAGAAGTTCAAATAAGTATTTCGGTTGTTATAATAAATAAAATCACATTTAAAACTTTGTGGAAATCGATAGCAATCACTGCCAAAAAAGTGATAGAAAAATAATTGAATCATTATGTCAAAATATGTCTAAAATTTATAGGAATAAAATATACATTGGTCGATCTAAAATATACATTGTGTCTAAAATATATCGGAACATTTTAAAACCGGAATAAAAGCAATATCAATAACTGCCAAAAATACAATCAAACGCCACGCAGTCTTATGATACTCTTGGCATAAATTGAGTTTGTAAAGTTCTGGACCAATGTCGCCTTGTCACTACAATTTTGTTACAGGATATAGTAATGCTGAAAAATTAAGGACTTTTAAAAACTTTATACCATATTTAAGTACCATTAAGGGCCCTTATTTTCCAAAATAAAAATTAAGCAGTTTTTAAGGACTTTTAAGGACCGTGGGAACCCTGTAATAGAAAAGATGGATGGGGATCCGAACATTGAGTACACGCCATTGGAACTTTTATGTCATTTTTCAATGAATAGTTATTGTTGTTAGACAAGCAGGGACAGTCACTTACTTACACTCACCAACTAAATACCCTGAACCCTCTAATAGAAAAGGTGGATGGGGATCCAAACATTGAGCTCACGTCATTGGAACTTTTATGTCATTTTTCAATGAATAGTTATTGTTGTTAGACAAGCAAAAGGGACAGTCACTTACGTACATTCACCGACTAAATACCCTGAACCCTCTAATAGAAAAGGTGGATGGGGATCCAAGCATTGAGTTCACATCATTGGAACTTTTATGCCATTTTTAATGAATAGTTATTGTTGTTAGACAAGCAAAAGGGACAGTCACTTACGTACACTCACCAACTAAATACCCTGAACCCTCTAATAGAAAAGGTGGATGGGGATCCAACATTGAGAGGCAAGCTTTCATGTCATTGGAACTTTTATGGCGTAAAGCAATTTTCTTATACAAGTAATTCTGATCAAGAACTGCTGGTGAATTAGTTAATACATCCCGTGTTGGAGGTTTAGTTTCTGGAAAAAGAGTTCTTTATTATTAAAAACTAACTAAGGACTAACACAAGTCAACTTTAAAAGAAAGAAAGCTAAATAAATTATAGAAAGAAATATAATTGAAACAAAGATAAAAAAAAAATAATAAGTCAGAAAAATTATAAAGATTAAAATCATAAAAAATAGTAATAAAAATACTGATTAACTTTTTTAAAGGAAAAAAAGAGAGAGAGAGAGATTGTGAAGTAGAAGAAAACTGAAAACTCAAGAAAAATCCTCTGAATTTAATCCAAATTTACTTAATGCTCATTATTTCTATTTTTTAAAACACTTTATAGGAATGAATGCTGGCTATGATAGACTATGATGGCTCCGACATGTATTCTGATCAAGAATACTATTGTAGTAAAAAAGCTCACCTTCACTAATCCCACGGGAAAGATAAAATGAGAATGACCACCAGTTAAGACGGCTTTCTGAACTTGGTGGAGAAAAACTTTCATATAGAAAATAAGGGAAACCGGAAAAGCCTTGCTGCCGATATAACCAGATGGCAAAGACCACTTGGAACAGTCTCTTTGTCAGACTGTAGTGTCTTGAACGAAGACGATTTCTGTTCTTAATTTATTAAGGTAGTTGTTTAGTAAGAGTTTAATTTTAAAAAAAAAAAGTTTTAAAAGGAACAAAGCAAAAGATTTTGCTAATAACATTCATTGAATTGTAAAGTGAAAAAGAATCATCTGCATTAAGTCTTTTTACTTAATTTTCATTAGTTTATTCTGCTTCCCATTGAAAATGAATGATGTTGGTGGGGAACATACTTTGCATGTAGGGGGGGTGAAACAAAGAAATTGCATATCTTACCGAATTTCCTGTCTAGACTGCAGGCGGAAGTAGCACGTGATGGCTCTCTCTCTTCAGATCGCCTATTGCTGACAGAAGACATCAAAACAGGTCCTTGGCTGCCAATAGCTGCCAGGTCAAAGTCGAAAGTTCGAGGTGTAGAGCTGCCAAAAGCAAAGCATTGAGAGTTCCTTTGAGCATTGCGTCTTGCTTCAATCCTGGCTTCTCTCTCCATATTCCGTCGCAGAATGGCTTCTTTCCTTTCCTGAAAAACAACAAGAGATGTTACATAACCTGACTGCAGGGTGTGTAGCCAAATCTCTCAACAAAAAATAAGTACCTTTAAAGTACTTTTTAAGCACTCAAAAAAACATTTTTAAGCACTATATACATTAAAAAAATGCAAAATAAATTTTCTAAGACTTTACTTGATCTCGATAAAATAACTAGTTTCTGACAAAGAACTCTTTTTATGATAATGGCATTATAAAAAAATAGGGAGATTTTTCGGTTTGATTTCAGAGGGTGGAAAATGAAGCCTGAAATTGAGAATATCTTGCAAAATGCAACAGAGTTGCACATGAGAGTGCAAGAATCTCACAGAACCCACCTCAGTAGTCACTCCCAAATATCTCATCAAACTTGTAACATGATTGGCACTATCGTATGTTACAGACAGACAGCAAGCGGAAATGCATTTTGGTTAAAATGAATTGTGAAAATGTTGCATAGAACAATGTGAAAACCCTGTTTTTGGATAATACGCAGCAAAAATCGACATGGTAAAGAAAAAAAATTTAATTTTCGAAAAGGGAAAATTAAGCATTTTTTAAAAACACTTTTAAGAACGAACAATTATAAAGAACTTAAATCGGAATTAGGCACCCTTAAGCAGTTTTAAAAAATTCTACGCTCCATGTATTAAGACTTGTAGTGGTTCAAAATAAAATTAGAAAAGCATATTACAAAAAAAACAGGACATTTTTTGGCACAATACTCACAGAGTAGTCCATTGTTGAGAAGGGAAAAGGAAGAACTAAATAAAACATCGTAATCAATCTACTTCGGTGCAAATTTCATTCTGTGCAGCATTTTTATTAAAATGTGTGCAACTACAAAAAGGGAGAGGGCAAATACTCAACATTTTCAAATATAAAATTCAGATAGGAACAAGTTGATAAAAAGTGATTTTAAAAAAACAATGCGATTTCACACAAATGCATTTGTTATGATAAATCTTGGAACCTCATAACTTGGTAAAATCAGTACTACTAATCAAGGGATTCCTAAAAATTCAGAGTTCATTCTAGCCAGAGTAGAAGGGGCACGCAGCCCCATTTGCCTTTAGGATGGAAAATTTCAGCCCTGCATAACCTTTGAACTTGATTACAGGCCTTGAATATTAAAAAAAAAATTCTATTCATGCAAATTTCTATGTGAATCCACAAAAATTTTTTCTTTTGGAATTATTTGTTTTTTCCCCACTTATTTTTGCATAGTTTTTAAAATTTCAACATTTTTAGCAGGATTCTGTTACGACATGAGAATTTCAAAATTAATGTATCACTTTTTGGCTGATCGACATGCAACGATTCGGAGTCAATTGATGATAGATTTCATTGGCATTTATTTATAATTTTTTAGACATATTTACAAGGTTTTTAAAACTTTAATATATTTTATTAAGATGATGTTTCACAGCTAGCAATTTTCAGATTTAAGTAACAACTATTTTATCAAAATTTATACGAAAATCACTGTTGGAAATGCTTGATTTCACATCGTTCACTGATTGTTCTTTTGGCCATTTTCACTTACTTTGTTAAATTCCAAGGTTTTTAATAAAATTCTTTTCAAAAAAAGTTATTAAGGCACACTCATTTCAAATTTAAGTCAGGGTTGCAAAAAACCCACCTACCCAGTGAAACCCGGTTTTTCTAAAATTGATTTCTATCTTATCCTCTGTTATATTAAAGAGGTATTTTATTGAAACATATATGTAGTCTAACCAAAAAAAATGAGCCGATGGTGAAAAAATTAACTGTATTTGGAGACTGGAGAGTCACCTTGCTAACTAGATTTGACTGTGTGGCCATTGGTTAGTCAGTGCCTTTGATTCGCTTTCTATGCAAAAAATAATAATAATTCCTCATATACCTTTTAAGATTAAAATATAAATAAAAAGTAATCCTGTGTTAAAATAAGTTTCAAATGTGTGATCAGGGGTCTGTTTAGGTTTTCCTGAGAGGAGAAAATTAGACATAATTTGTGAAAGTTTCAAAATTATATTAAAAAATCAACACAAAAACATGGTTAAGTTAATGGATTTATCGTTTCTTACGGGATACAAAAATAAAATCTACCGTTTCTACTAAAGTTGAATTTGTGAAGGTACCGCTAAACGGTAATCAATTTGCCCTGGACAGACCCCTGGTGATGTATGTAAGTACGTATAACATTTTTGTATCGTGATGTCAGAAGAAACTTTTTTCAGACTTTTGCAGCAATTTATTTGTATTACCTCACTACACTTTAATTACCTATATGTTAAGTCAATTCATAAAATTTGAACTTAATTATTAATATTAAAATATACTTTTTTAAAATAACGTACTAGTTTGTGCCCACTCCCTTGAAGAAAAAAAAAACCCACTTGGGTACTGTTTTTCTGGAAAAACCCAGGTTTTCTGCAACCCTTTTAAGTACACTTCCTTTTAAGTACACATAATTATTCTGATAGCCCCTATTCACAATTGCTAAAATTTTAAAATCAAGTATAACTTTTCTGGCTGTTGCCACCAATGCTCTACAAATGATGCGTAAAGAATACCTGTTCTGCCTCCCAAATCTGTCTTTTTCTTTCCTCCACTTGGATGCGACGTTCTGCTTCCCTTACACGAGCCTCCTCAATTTTTCTCTTCCTCTCTTCATCCAACTGCTCACGGTGCCTCTTAGAAAGAATAAATTGTTGTTCTATTTCCCTCAACTTCTTCATTCTCTCTTCCTCTATCCTCACTCTCACTTCTTTCACTTTCTGCATCCTCTCACCTGCACAACACACAAACAGTTAGTTTTATTGTCCAACCCATTTCTTAACAGTACTTTCTAAAAAAAAAAATGAAATGGATGAAACTGAACTAAATGGCAGTTATGAACAGAACTGTGTCATGTATAAATAAATAAAAAATTTTGAAGTTTCTCAGACAACAGAGGGGCAGAGAGGACTAAACTAAATGTCCCCTCAGTTACACAAAAAGTAAACAAAGCTGATTGGTTGATCATTAAAAAAGATGGCTAGGAAAGTAAGCAAGTGCAAATGCATCCTAATTCAATTAGTTTAAACCAGTTCCTCCACTGTTAGAGCACACTTTTTTTTTTTAATAAAGCTGTGCCATTTTTATTTGATAGTGTGTTTAATTTGTAGTTAAAAGTTTTTTGAGTGAATAATCAATATGAGTGAGTAATCAATATAGAATATACAACTAGAATATCCCAAGGGGAGAAAAAAAAAGATATTTGTAAGAAGATAAAGAATATAAAACGAANTAGAAAAAATTAGCATTAATGCAACAATTGTAACAATTTATTGACAAACATTGCTGTTAGCGATTGTAAAAGAATGTGCAATTGGTTGGTTTGTTGAGAAAAAATTCACAGATTTCTTTTAATGGGAGTAAAAAAGCTTTCAGAAAAAGAATGCAATATAAAATCTATTATTATTAAATAGTAATCAACAATTTTTGGGGAATTTTATAAAGTTAAAAATATGAAAACATTTTGTCAAAATAGAAAAAAAAAATTACCACCAAAGTATCGGAATAAACTTGAGCCATAAATGGATTTAGCCCAAGGACAGAATTTAAAAACAGAAGGTAATATCCTAATCCCTTCTTCCATTTCCACCAGAATCTTTCCTAAATTGCACAGTCCCATAATGGTCAAAGGTTTCTGTATTCGTTTAGCAACCATGAGAGAAATTTATGTGGTATTCTAGTTTGACAGAGCTGTAATGGAGCAAATTTTGATGCAAGCAAAGTATCGCTAAGTTGATGATATTTCAACTGTTTGGCAATACATTTCCGTTCAAAAAAAGTGGGTATAATGAATGAAATGATTTAAATTAAGAAAATTAGTACATAATTTAGATTAGTGAAATTAAAAAAAATTATCAAAGAAAAAATTTTCAGCTTTTCCTTAAAATTCCCTGATTTTTCTGGGTTTTTATCCAAATTTCCCTGATATTTCCAGGTTTTTTCCAGCATAAAAAAATTCCCTGATAATTCCAGGTTTTCCAGGTGGGTGGCCACCCTGACTTAACTAAATGTCCCCTCAGTTACACAAAAAGTAAACAGATCTGATTGGTTGATCATTAAAAAAGATCTTTAGGAAAGTAAACAAGTGCAAATGCATCCTAATTAAACTAGTTTAAACCAGTTCCTCTACTGTTAGAGCACACTTTTTTTTTTTAAATAAAGCTGTGCCATTTTTATTTGATAGTGTGTTTTAATTTGTAGTTAAAAGTTTTCTGAGTGAATAATCAATATGAGTGAGTAATCAATATAGAATATACAACTAGAATATCCCAAGGGGAGAAAAAAAAAGATATTTGTAAGAAGATAAAGAATATAAAACGAAAATTTATGATAACAGAAGTATTTTGAAAAGAAGAAAAAAAACCTTCACAGAGAAATAGATAAATTGAAAGAAAAAAAGAAGACGAAGTAAAAATAAGAAGGCACTGATACAAGCAGTAGAAATCCAAGACGGATATTCTCTTCAAAATGTTCCTCAGATATTGGGGAAAGCTATTAAAAAAATCCAAACGTGTTTTACCTGTATCTCCAAGAAAACTTTGTACTGTTCTAAGCATACCTTACTACCAAAATGAAAGAAACAGACTAGTAACAAAGTTTCTGATGAAACAAAAAACTTCTAATAAATTTCAGCTCATCTGATAAACTTCCAGACTTCTGGTAGAGCTGAGTGCATTATCGTAAGAGCAAATGGACAGAAAGTCACAAAGCAAAAAAAAATAAAATAAAATACTCGCTGTGCACCTTGATGGAAGTATATCAAGTTTTAAAGCAAATGCATCCAAACATAAAAATTGGCAAACCTAAGTTTGCTGTACTACAACCTATCCATATTTTATGCGCAAGTAAAACACCATATAATGTGTGTATGTGCTATTTATGAAAATGTGAATTTACTATTAAATCCACACAAATATTTACCTTATAATTACATTACATTACTAAATATAGCAACTTGCGACAAGGCTATTGTTGTTGACGTATGCCATTAAGGCAGAGGGGGTGCGATTGTTATTGTTTTCCAGTGGCGTCATCTATGGCGAAGAATTCGACTTCTGCCACACCTGTTTATAGGGCGGATCCATTCATACATTCATCCACAGTTCGTAATTTTGACCTGAATCAGAGAACGATCAATCTTCAATTCAGTACGCCCAGAGGTATTGATTTGCTATGGGAACATGGAGAACTTTGAGACTCGACAGATTTAAAGTGCATCAGTCACCTTTTACTACACGGGAAGTCTTTGGCCGGCAAGGATCGAACACAAGACCACTTGGACATGGGCCCAGTGCCCTATCAACCAGGCTATCTCAGCCTACGAGTGACAACCGCTCAATTGATTTTATAACAGTCGTGGAACAACCGACAAAAATTTGAGTTTACGTTTACTAATGTTCAACTCCGCAGACTTGTAATTTTGAACCCAATCCAAAAGACTAGGGAAATGGTATTGATTTGTTATAAGAAATTGGAGGACTGTGTGATCCAACAGACTTAACATGCACTGAACACCATTCAAAACACGGGGATTCTTTTGATGTTGCAATAGATAGTTTTGCAAGTGTAAAAAGTTTAAGAAAAAAAATAGGGTAATTTGTTGCCCAAATAACTGAAATTGAAAAAGAAACAAAGAGTGCACACATTTTTTTTAACACAGTCTGGTAAAATAAAAACTTTCAAATATAACAACAAGTATGTAGCATAGGTTCATATGTCAGTTATTATAACAGTGCTGCAAACTCCAACACTAAATAACCAAAAGTCACTTTGACAGTGATATTTCCCTTTAACTATTTGTCAAATTTATAATACGTCCCCCCTGTTACGACATATTATTTGGACTCAATAAAAATGTGTTAGTAATTTTAAAAGACTCTTAATAATTTATTTTACCTAAAATTCTATAATTTAAAAAAATTACAGATTATGTTCAGGATTGTCTAAATCACAGAATTTGGCGTAAATATCAGTGCATGTTAAAAATGTGGAATTTTATTTGTCCCCTCTGTTACAAGTACTTATACAAAAGCAAAAGTACTTATACAAAAGCAAGTCAAGTACTTATACTTATGTTACAAGTACTTGACTTGCAATTTAATTATGAGGTTCTTTTATTATTTTTTGCCAATTAATTAAACATTGCACCCCAAAGTAGCATATTCTTATAAAATTTTTTGTTTTCAGAAATATTTAGTATATTTTTTAGAATACAATACTTGCGCGATTTCCCCTCTGTTACTCTTGGAATTAAACATTTTTAAAAATTTTCTTTCAATACATGCAAGTTAAATAGTTCGTTAGAAATTCGATATGTTTTTAAACTAATCTAACATTATATTCTTATTATATTAATTGGAAGTCAATTTAACTTTAAAAAAACGAACAAATAAATAAATGAAACAAAACTTACGTTTATTTTTAAATCAGGGTGAGTTGTGTGAGTCACGGGATATTGTTAAATTAGTTTATTGTGTGCTATTGCACGGTACAGTGCAATAGCACACAATAAACTAATTTAACAATATTCATTACTGATTTATCTCTTATGATGACAAATAATCAACTTTCAAATTTGGTCTATTGTTTTATTACGACCACGATCTGTTTTTTAATGATATATGTGATAAAATGCTTAAAAGAAGGACTTCGTATGAAAGATTAAAATTATAAAATTTGTGGAAAAATTCACAATTGAGTGTTGTAAAAGTTCCTGCAAAATTTAATAAAAAATATTCAGCTCAAATGTCACCTGACTTAAAAAAAAAAAAGCTAGTTACATTTATTAACAAACTTATGAAGAACTTTATGAACAACTTAATTTACAAACTTATGATTATTATGACTTGTAGATGCAAAAGGAAACTCTACTAAATGTTAATTTAATGAAAACTAGAATATTTACTAATATGCTGAGATTTTTCTGAAAGCGTTCAATGACTTTTGTGGGATTAAGTTTTCGTTACTTTTTGATGATTGATTTCTTTAAAATAATCTTTTGCTTAACTTAAACTTATATCCTTGACTGCTTGGGCCTTTCCAAGGAGAACTTACACGTTATTCTACTTCTTGTCATCGACTTTTTGAGGGTCAACAACCTATTGGATCTTGTTAAGAAACAACAACAAACTTTTGCTTTGTTTTTAAAGTATTCCATACAGTTTTGCTAAGAATTGAATATATTTTTTATTATTAAATATCCATTCTGAAATATTCATTTTAATTAATGGATAGTCTTATTTCATTGAAAGTCATAAGTGTACCAACACTTTTGCGAGTCCCAGTATTTACATTTCAATATAAACCTGTACTGTACACTGTATTTTATCTTAACAGTGCTTTTCATAAAATTCATTGATCATATTTTGTTTAAACCAATATTTCAAGTCAAAGTTTTAAATAATGTTGTTTGAATTAGCATTATTATTTTAAGAAATTCAGTATACAAAAATAAATGTCACAAATGCAAAATTGCAGGGGTGATTGTGAGCCCAAGTCAAAATTCCGGAAAATTTCGAAAGTTAAAAAAAAAAAAAAACTGTTTAAATCAGGGTTGGGGTTTTGGACGTCCTAAACTGGTTTTGGACAGGACACGTGGGTTTTGATGTCTTAAACTGGGTAAAACTGTCCTAAACTGGGTAAAACTGTCCTAAACTGGGTATAACTGTCTTAAAGTGTCCAAAACCTTGAACTTCGGTAAAAGGTAAAAATTCTATAGGTGTAACCATTGTACACATAATAATTACATGCATCNTGTATCCCACTAAATACATATGAATAAAAAAATTTATATTTATTCATCATTTAATATGTTTCCTATACATTCCTTAGTCTTTGACAGCTTTTAGGAATAGTTTTGGAAATATCATCTCTGGAATGCAAGCAACATTTACAAACTTTCCATATTGTGATAACTATACAATTTGAATTTTAAATCAAAAATCAAATATTTACCAACAAAACAGTAAAATTAAATATTAATATATATAGTTAGTTCTTAAAAAAACTTTTTTTTAAAATTAACATATGCTATAAAAGGTAAAATAAAATGGAGAAAAATAGTATTAATGCAACAATTGTAACAATTTGTTGACAAACATTGCTGTTAGCGATTGTAAAAAAATGTGCGAGTGGTTGGTTTGCTGAGAAAAAAATAATTTACAGATTTCTTTGAATGGGAGTACAAAAGCTTTCAGAAAAAGAGTAAGATATAAAATCTANTTTCAGTTACTGACACTGGTGATGTATCACCACTATGCTAAACGAATTGAACATGAATGAAATAAAAGTATTCTTGAATAGTACTATAGATAAATAGATCTGTTTATGACGAACCAAGCACTTAGTCTATTTTAACCTGTATGACAAGGCCAAACTTCAGTTATGTACTAGTATTGAATGAGAGGACCAATTGAACTTGATTACTGATTAATCTTCCTTTGTTTAAATTGAAGAGTCAAACAATATTAATAAAACATTATACTTTTAAAAACAAATATTCTCTAGTATATTTAATTATCAATATGTTATTAGTTCTATGTTTATTTCACCTCTTAGATATTGTTCAGATAAAATTGTAACATAATTTGAGAAAAAGGGTTTTGGACAGTTTTGGACAAAGGGGTTTTGGACAGGACGGTTTAAACCAGGGTTTAAACCGTGGATTAATCCATTCTGTCCTAAACCTTACCAACCCTGGTTTAAATTGAAAAAAAATTCAAACATGTTTTTTTTCTTCCTTTTTCTCAATATTTCTTAGCTTACTTAAAATATATTTAAAATTTTACACACCATTTACACATGCCTATGATGACCTGGAGAAGTAATTAAAATTTACAAATATGTCTTTCTCTCTTGAGTTTATGAGCATAACAACTATTTACTGATAAAAAAATGAATATTAATCGTGAATATAAGCTTATAAAGTATCTCTCTCGCTCTCCCTTACAAACAAATAAAATAAACTGTGTTTTTAAGTTCCAACTTTGAAAATTTGATTTCCGGAAACTTCTCTGATCAATGATTTTTTTTAAACGTGTGGACCTTCGATCTCCGTAAACTTTCGGATTTTTTCCGGAGCACAATCAGCTCTGAAATTGTCTAATTTTTTGTTGTATACTCTACAGAAAAAAAAAAATAGTTAACATTCTTTAAATTTTATACTTATCTGCTTTTTTTTTTCTTGTTTGAAATTAAAATAAGAATTCCTATCTAAACACATGGGTTTATAGGTTACAATAGTTAATTGTTTTCGTTTCAACAACTAGAATCTTGCACAGTGCAAAACTAAAACACCAGGTTTCGTTTTCCTTCTTCCTACTAAATACATATGAATAAAAAAAATTATATTTATTCATCATTTAATATGTTTCCTATACATTCCTAAGTCTTTTACAGCTTTTAGGAATAGTTTTAGAAATATCATCTCTGGAATGCAAGCAGCATTTACAAACTTTCGATATTGTGATAACTATAGAATTCGAATTTTAAATCAAAAATCAAATATTTACCAACAAAACAGTAAAATTAAATATTAATATATAATTAGTTCTTAAAAAAACTTTTTTTTAAAATTAACATATGTTATAAAAGGTAAAATAAAATGGAGAAAAATAGTATTAATGCAACAATTGTAACAATTTGTTGACAAACATTGCTGTTAGCGATTGTAAAAAAATGTGCGAGTGGTTGGTTTGCTGAGAAAAAAATAATTTACAGATTTCTTTGAATGGGAGTACAAAAGCTGTCAGAAAAAGAGTAAGATATAAAATCTATTATTATTAAATTATAACCCACTAATTTTTGGAGAATTTTATAAAGTTAAAAATACAAAAACATTTTGAATCATTTTGTCAACATAGAAAAAAATTACCACTAAAGCATCAGAACAAACTTGAACTATAAACGGATTCAGCGTAAAAGGTCCGTTTTCGTAAAATTGTGTAAAAATTACACGTAATTTGTGAATATAAAATAAACGTTAAGTCACATTCTTACAACCAGGGTCCGGCTCTGGTAAATTTGTGCAAATAGGGTCCTGATATTGCAAAAAACTTTTTCAAGGAGTTTTTAAATTGTAAAGACATACAAGATTATGCTCAACACTGTAAAATTATAATAAAAAAAATTGAATTTTAAAAAAATAAACAGCAATTGCTGCTACTAAATTAGAGATGCAACATACAAATATTTGGTATTTAGCCTATTCTGCTGAACACAGAATATTCATTTCAGATTAATACAGGAAGAAGCGTCAGCCGAAGACAAAACTTAGCTCGTTTACATCTGTCTTTCTCCCTCCCCCCTTCCTGGGAAGGGTTTATTCGATTAACAAAACAATAATGAAGATAAACAAATTTGTAAAGGGTCCAATTAAAGGATTAATTATTTTGTGAAGGGTCTGTTTTTAAGTTAAAATATTTTGTAAAGCGTCCGTTAACGGACCCAAATTTCTTCTAAACAGACCCCCTGATAAAAACATTTTAGACTTAAAAAAGTGGATAGGACATAATTTAAATTAGTGAAGTTGAAAAATATTGAAGAAAATATTTCCAGCTTTTCTTTAAAATTCCCTGATTTTATAAAAAAAATTAAAATTCCCTGATTCCTGATTTCCCCCTGATAAGTAGAGAATTAAAATCGGTAAATTAATTAATGTTGTCAAAATGTAAAAATTTATTAGAATTAATATTTTCTTTTGACATTGATTTATTTCCTTTAGTTTTTAATTGGAGGATATTTCTGTATCTTTGTAATTTAAATGTTTAGAATATATATCAGGGGTCTGTCTAGGTTTTTCTGAGAAGTACCCATTTTGTGAAAATTTAGACATAATTTGTGAAAAATGAACAATTATATTAAAAAATCAACACAAAAATATGGATTTATCGCTTCTTAAGGGATACAAAAATAAAATTTTAAGAAAAAGTATTTTGTGAAACTACCGCTTTTCCTAAAATTGAATTTGTGAAACTGCCGTTTTTCCTAAAGTTTAATTTGTGAAACTGCCGTTTTTCCTCAAGTTGAATTTGTGAAGGTACCGTTAAACGGTTGTAAATTCGGCCTGGACAGACCCCTGTATATATATATATATATATATTGCAAAGAGATAACCCAGGATGCACAGCCAAATTATTCAACAATAAATAAACACCTTTTAAGAACTTTTCAAGCACTGAAAAAATATTTTTAAGCATTATAAAAAAAGTATCATAATTAGGCAGGGTAGGAAAGTTTTTGACAATTGACAGTTTTATCTTGTTTTAACCATCAATGTGAAAAAGAAAAAAAAAACACTTTGGCTTTGTTTTTGACAATTGTCAAAAATCATGAAATTTTGAATCGTGTAAAACAAAGGGCGTTTTCATACGCTACTGACTGACAATACACGGAAATAGATTGGGGTTGAATGAATTGTGATAACGTTGAATAGAACAATGTGGACTGTGTCTCTTTGTATAATTCGTAGCGAAAATCAACATGGTAAAGGAAAAGCTCATTTTGAAAAAGGGAAAATTAAGCACTTTTTAAAAACACCCAATGAAAAAAGCATCATTAAGGGCTTTTTAAAAAACGAAAATAAGCACTTTTTATAAACGCTACGCACCCTGCAAGGGGTTGAATAGATTTTAAACTTGCACATTAAAAAAAAAAAAAAAAANTAGGTTTTTCTGAGAAGTACCCATTTTGTGAAAATTTAGACATAATTTGTGAAAAATTAACAATTATATTAAAAAATCAACACAAAAATATGGATTTATCGCTTCTTAAGGGATACAAAAATAAAATTTTAAGAAAAAGTATTTTGTGAAACTACCGTTTTTCCTAAAGTTTAATTTGTGAAACTGCCGTTTTTCCTAAAGTTGAATTTGTGAAGGTACCGTTAAACGGTTGTAAATTTGGCCTGGACAGACCCCTGTATATATATATATATTGCAAAGAGATAACCCAGGATGCACAGCCAAATTATTCAACAATAAATAAACACCTTTTAAGAACTTTTCAAGCACTGAAAAAATATTTTTAAGCACTATAAAAAAAGTATCATAATTAGGCAGGGTAGGAAAGTTTTTGACAGTTGACAATCTTGTTTTAACCATCAATGTGAAAAAGTAAAAAAAACACTTTGGCTTTGTTTTTGGCAATTGTCAAAAATCATGAAATTTTGAATCTTGTAAAACAAAGGGTGTTTTCATACGCTACTGACTGACAATACAATGAAATAGATTGGGGTTGAATGAATTGTGAAAACGTTGAATATAACAATGTGAACTGTGTCTTTTTGTATAATTCGTAGCAAAAATCAACATGGTAAAGGAAAATCTCATTTTGAAAAAAGGGAAAATTAAGCACTTTTTAAAAACACCCAATGAAAAAAGCATCTTTAAGGGCTTTTAAAAAACGAAAATAAGCACCTTTTATAAACGCTACGCACCCTGCAAGGGGTTGAATAGATTCTAAACTTGCACATTTAAAAAAACAAAACATTTAGATGTTTGCCAGGGGGTGGCTACAAGTTATACCCTCAAGTAGTATAACTTTCTGTGATTTTTTTTTCCTTTTAGTTTCGCGCAACCTGCGAGTTGCATTTGAAGACGATAGTGTTAATAAACTATATTAGAAATGAAGTAGTTGCAATTTACTTTAAAAAATTCAATTTTTCCGTACACTGATTGTTGTTGTTGCAGTTCATTTAAGTAGCACTAGAGCTGCACAATGGGCTATTCCGCACACTGATATAGGTTCCTTTTACTAATAGGAAAACAAATACAATAACAATATCAAATCTGGCCATTTGGTTCTAGGCTATAGTATGATAAAAATTTAAATATCAATAATAGGTATAAGTGTATTAATGAAAATTAATTGATAAAAACGAAAAGCAACAACATTTAATAAAAGACTTGTTTCGACTTAAAGTGTCAGCTAACGCAGTACAAGGAGGGTTTCGCCCTTGTTAAAACTTGACGAATCGTTCGGTTTCCCCAGTTTAAAAAGTACTTAAACATTTAAAACCATGAAAGAAATCTATTTTCATAATTAATAATTTCAGTTTAGAGAAATCAAAGGTAAATTTACCTTCATTTCTTTCAAGAATTTCATTATTATTCAGAGTACTAGACATTTCTGTTGTCAAATAAATAAGACTATATGACGCATGCGCAATTTATTCTCATTGCCAATCACATGCTGCCAATGAGAAATATTTTAAATAATATCGGCAATCGGATTCTACTACAGATGGCGTAAGGCAGAACACTCTACCTATGGCAATGCTTTGCATATGCTTTCAAAATTAGTGAGGAGAGTTAGCTGTTGCTGTTGTTACTTTACGTCGCACTAGAGCTGCACAATGGGCTACTGGCGACGGTCTGGGAAACATCCCGGAGGATGATCCGAAGACATGCCATCACAATTTTGATCCTCTGCGGAGGGGATGTGAGGAGAGTTAGAGAAGAAGGAAAATACGATAGTCCCTGTAGTGATTTCTTTTGAAAATTAAGCTGGGAAACTTCATGGAAAAAAAAGAAAGCGTCATGGTTATTCTAAAAAATAGTTTTGACAGTTAAATTTGAAAAAATATTAAGAATGGATAAGTGGCCTATCATTGGCGATCGCAACGCTTGAATACGCCATCTGGGGAGACACCGATTTCATGCATGTATCCCTTCTCCCTTCCCTCTCCTCCTCTTTTCAATTGAATAGATACAATATTTTCCCTTTTCTTAATATTTTTCCTTTTTATTTAATAAAAATATTTTTTAAAATTTCCGTGATGTTTTTCTTTAGAACTATGCTTAATGCAGTTTTCAGTTCCATATAGTTTTCCAACTTAAAAGATTTTAATCTATATGAAAATCAAGAGAGAAACTAACGCACTCCCTTCCTCTATGACTCTCCGCACGCTAATGTGGAAAGCATGTGACCCATTTCGATCACCAATAGTTAAGTGCGCAAAAAAGAGGAAAAAAAAGAGATATATATATATATATATATGTATATATATATATATATATATATATATATATATATATAT